ATCCTTGCGTCAAATAATCGGGATGGAAACATACCGGGAGCAGAGTGCATTTGGGAGGAAACTCACGAAGCCCTGACGTTTGCAGCTCTCAAACGCCAAGTAAACATCCGGGTACAAAAACTTGCGGAAGAATGGTGGCTTAAGAATAGATCGAGTAGGTATGAAGATCTGGACCTACTGATGCGGAGAAAGCACCCTCTGAAGCTAGCTCTACCTCGATGGACATATTTGTTGTGATTGGCAAGTATTAGCCAAGATAACCACGTGATACTCATCATGCACGGACTTTTGTATATCTTTGCTGCTCAGTAGACTTAGAGGAAGTAAGACCTTTTATATATACAACTATCTAAATACAACAATATCACCGCCTCATCGCAGCAAGGACCGGGCATGGTGACTTCGCCAGCTATCATAGACGGTTCCACCACCAGAATGAAGAAATGTTTTGCAATTGTGGCCGAGAAGAGCGGCCATGGCATTTTGCAAAGTGTAGCCCGGATATCCAGAAATGGAGGACGGAAACGAAGGAACTACGCCCTACAATCAGGGATATGATAGGGCAAGAAGGATGGCAGAAATTCTGGCGTTTTTTAACTGTGACAAAGTGTTACAGCAAGATTGACTCGTGAATAGGGGATTTAATGTTAAACTGTAATGCTTCTTGGGGCCGTTCGGTGTAGTACGAGAATTAAGGTGTGGTGCAGGGCACTCGCACCTGAAAAATAGTGGTTTTATTTGCTTTCAGTTTTGTGTTTCTAGGTTTCTACGAAGCAATGATGTAGGTAGCGAAGAGTCATAATTAGATCTGGACTACCCGTGCCATGCCCTCTGGGTGCTGGGGTAGTATCCGGTTACGATAAAAATATCATCATTATTATCATATTAACTTCACTTCTGCACGTTAATAAAGATATCTCTTGTTACGGTTTGGCCGTTGTCTGAGCTTATGTGGATACCTAAGCGTATTGTTGAAGATTCATGTTGTAAGACTGTAAGGAAATGATAGAGGAAACTGGAAGATACGGCACTACCAGCCAAGAGGCCAGATCAGTGTCACAGCGTAAGGATTCTTGATAATATGTGGCTGGGTGGCAAGTATTCGGCCTAGGGTGAAGAAATCAGTCAAGACAATCACTGAGGGGCTGAATATTATAAATACCCGTTAGTTGTAGCTAGATTTCACTTCCTTTTTTATAAAGTTTATTAAATCGACATTATCATCACCAACTCGGGGTTCCCGTCATATCTCTCCACAAAATATCTCAGCTGTTCCAGCGCAAGTGTACATTCCCAAATCATGTACCAATCATAATAGGACCCCGTTTGCCACTGTCATCCCAGTGGCCGTATCACAAAACATTACAAGGGCTACCACATCTCTCTCATCCAGAAACACCTTGGCGACTGTCACCCGAGCAGGTCATCAAAAATCAGGTGCACAGATCACTGCGAACATCCCCTGGAGCGCAGCTGCTCCAGCAGCCAGAATACAAGAAAAGCAAGTAACAGCGACACGGCAAGATGACCGACTCTTCCTGCGTCTCGTTGAAAAACATTAGTGGAGACAGCTCTTTCCAGCTGGCATTCGTGAAGCAGTCGCCAAATAGACAATATGCGCCCCTGCCGACGTTGATCAAGTTCAACGTGTCCCTTCGGAGTTTGCCATCCGCGCCAAAAACCCAACTGCTGGAGGCAAAACTAGAACGGCCAAGAAATCTTATTTCGTTCCGAATCGCTAAGGTTTCAAACGCAGTCTATAGTTGAGAGGGAAGAATTGAAGTCACTGTCGACATGGTAGCCGCGGAGATCCACAGGGTCAATAACAGCTCTCCAAACCAAGTAAGGATTTACGAGAACTTCAGACTCGGGGCTCTTTTAAAACCGTGGACGGCTCCGTTTCTGTGCGAATATTGGCGTTGATAGATGAGAGAAATATGTAAGGGTTCGAAGCTGTGGGAGGTCGCAAGTACTATCTTGTTTTCTATCTACCACGCGTAAATACACGACCACCGCGCTACTAGTTCTAGTTACTTTCCCCCTACGTAACCCGCTACATCTCTATGAGCTATGGGGAAATTTACGGATATTAGTCACGTGGTGTCAGTGCGGCGTTGGGGTTTACTTTCTTTCATTATTCAAGTTACATATGGAGAGAGAGAGAGGTACGTTTTGATCAATAACCATTTTACCCAATCTTTGTGCTAGCACATTAACTAGAACCGGTGATAAACCGACAGTTTCCAAAAGATGCCAGCCCAAAGCTGGGTTTCAGGCTCTTTGAGGACTTGGGAGTAGCCACGATTCAACGAACTCGCCCTACTATATAGCAATGTAGGCGATGCCTTGGATTCCACGCTCCACGTGGATGTTCTCGCGCACCAACTTGTTGGAATCTTGCATCAACCATGCACTCGGAATTCGAGTGTAAAGCAGCATCTAGATGTCAAAACTACGGAGGGCCTCACCAATCCGGCAGTCGAGACTGCTTGGCGCGTCCCAGTAGGTCAGGCCTAGCTACCAAGGAGCAGCTTGTGACGCTCCGACAAGCTGGCCAACGTGAATACCAGGCCGCTGATGCTGCCACAGCTGCCGCGAAAACGACACGACTAACCTCATCTGCTGCTACTAAGGACACCTCCTCGAGAGACACAGCAATAACTGAGAGCTCGGGCTTTGATGCCTTGAACCCTGAAGAAGCTTTGTGAAGGGTGCCCTGCAGGCCTCTTCACGTCCCCTCCTACACTAAGTTTTATGTTAATCAATGTAGGTAGGGGAGGCTCATCATACGACATCACGCTTTCCCGAGCTTACGAGCTAGGCGTAGATATAGTGATATTACAAGAGCCTTCGTGGAACAAAGCCACAAAGGAAACAAAGTCACACACTGGTTACTACTGTCATATACCACATGGCGGCGTAAACGTTCGACCCAGGGCAGTGAGCTATACATTAACCAACAGGAGAATTCATTCGGCAAGCAAAATCTTTCCCTGAGATCCCCAGACGTCGGACTAATTTATTTTGCATCAGATTTTAATTGCGTATGCAGCTATCTAGCTATGACACAATATCAAAGAAAAGTACAGAACAGATGATTCAACGTTAGGGAAGAGCACTTATGCCTCAGATTTCATTTGCAAGTACCACTGCGAAGTTATGGCGGCTTTTTCTTCACCCTAAGTCAACCCTCATCCGTGAATACCCACCCAGGGGAACATCTCAAAAACCCTGAGCTATGCAGACATGCCTCCATCATCCATCAACTTTTCTCCGCGCGAAATATGGTCTGAGATGTCTCCTTCCCAAGTGGAGTAGGTGCCCAGTGTAACGGCTTGTGAGCCGATTGCTGTGTGGCGCGTGATTGTATTCACGTGCTTCTATAATTCTACAGCAGTCTAGCTTTATTCCAGATCAGTCCAGCTGTGACTGGAATATTCTAGTAATTGGTAGCAAGACTGGGAACAACTATGACAGGAATATACGAGAAGCAGATATCAGTCAAGAACGAGTATTCTAGAGTTCTTCATAGATGTATAAATAGTTGAAGTAATACTCTGATTGTTAGCCATAGAGAAAATTATAAACTACCTTCGTATTTCTGATTGCTCCCGCATCAACACTCGAACCGTGACACCCAGGCTACTCAGACTATACCAGAGAACACCACCAGGAGGCGGACCACAACACCTTCCATCGTCGGCTTGTTTTTACAGTGTCAGTTGCTCTCTCACAAGCGAAGTCTTGGCGCGCACAAAGCCCAATTCGTTAAACTCCTTGCCAAAATTCAGAAATTCACGCCTTTCAATGTTGAGTACTTGTCATCATCTTCTGAACTTGTCCTGATCTCTCTTACGTCCACCCCAAAGAACTATCTCCCAGATTTGAGCACCACGCTTTGCTTCCTCCTGCGGGTATAAATATTGGCGTGGGCGTGTATTTGGTGACCGGCTAAGGACAGAAAAAGTCGATGAGAGGTGTGGCTATGTGGATGAGGATGTACTAAGTCGTACTTGTAGACTTGATGAGAATTAGGTAGGCGTCCAACTCGTTGGGAGTGGAAAAACGACGTGGTGGAGTAATTTAATATTTACCTCGTGGGCCACCTTCTTTGATATTGCAAAATTTGACTGAACTTGGCTCTGGGAAAATATTTCACTCCCAGGTTCGTAGAGGACACCGCGTACAGGTGTTCAGTCTTGCACTCCACAGGGGGTTTCTTAGCGGGCCCAGGACCCGTGACATATATCTTCTGTCGAAACCCTTGAGTCACCTATAATATTCACGACGTCCTCTGCTGCCCAATAAACTAACCAATTACCTGACAGATTTGATCATGGTTAGCTTCATGATAATGGCGATAGGGGTAAGTGTTGACAGATGGGTACGATACAGAGCGCGTAAGCGTTTGGGAATCATCACCGAAGTGAGAACTTTGTTACTCAATCTCGGCTCTGCAGACTCTACAGTGAGGGCTGGAGGTTCGTTGGGGACACCACTGACAGGTGTTCAGAATAGTCCCCCAGATAAATGCCTATCTATCATAGCAATTACATTCGAGCTCTTATGTTGAGAAAACAAGGTAAGATCGCTGTAATAGATATAGCCTGGGTCAGAGAGTAGAACAACTAATACCAAGCCAACTAATTCTTCCTTCTCCAGTTTTACCCTGAGAGGACGAGCTGAATTATTGTCGAACACCTACTGCGTTGGAACGTTTTCAGCTCAAGGCGCCGGGAAAGGATCAAGGAAGACGGTGGATTTTCATTGACTTGATTTCAGCTTATTGGGTCATCCACAAAGTACCTTTTCTCTGTTATTGAGTCATAGCTAGATAGCTGCATACGCAATTAAATCTTGAAAACAAACAGATTTCGGCCTAGGTCCAACCCTTGTCTCGACCAAGCTCACGGCAGGGAACATGGATAAATCTAAAAGTAGGGCTAGACGAAGCGCATCAGTCACTAAGAGCCCTACGCTGCCGTCCATGCAGCAGCGTAATGGGTCCCTACATGGCAACCTTCAACCGATTCCTTGGATTTCCCATCGATGCTTGGCCAACTTATAAACCGAAAATCCCAAGTATTTTTAGAATGATTAATGTCATGAAATCTACTTGGGGAACGCTCTGGGATGTAATCGTGTTCTGGCAGGTGGTAAGGTGATCAGCTACAAATTAATCTTTGTTCCTCTCCTAATCACAGTTAGCGGTTTATGCGCTGGTTGACATGTAAGAGTCCAATTGAAACTTGGTATATAATTTTACGTGATGCGGAAACTTACGAGGAGTGGGAAGAAGCTGCATTGCAGCTGGATGTGCTTACGGGAAACGATCTTTGGTGTGGGCCTCTGATCATCGTTTTCGAAACAATGCACCTGGCTAATATGTCTAATACAGGCGACAGAATCCAACATCAAAGTATTACGATTACCGATTAATACATCAACGTCTCCAGTCAATAATTATCGCAAGGGAAGAGGAAGACTACATCCAATTGATCAATCTTCTTCGATCTGGCCTTGTCCGAAACCTTGGCAATGTAACAACACCAAGGCTATTCAATCGTGCCTTTGCTGGGACTAAACTATTAATCGAGGACTATATTACACAAGTTTCAGAGGCCATTGCAGATGTTACTAAGCTTTCAACCTCACCGAATACTGACGATAATGAAAATCGGAACATTTGCAGATTTAGTAGCCAAGCTAAGCTCGATCTTCTGCATGACACGCGACAGGCCTTTGGAAGAAGTACTCTGGTTCTCGAAGGGGGTGCTGTATTCGGTCTTTTCCATCTTGGTGTGGTCAAAGCACTGCACGCCCGAGGTCTATTACCCCGAATTTTAACAGGAACCGCTACAGGTGCACTCATCGCGGCGCTCGTTGGAACACACACCGAAGACGAACTGCCAAAACTTTTCTCCGGTAATGGTATTGATCTGAGGGCCTTTGGTACCGGAGGAGGTAAAGTTCGAGCTTCGTTGCTCAAGAGAATCACCTCATATAACGGTCGTTTTATCACGCTTTTCAAGAGGCTGCCTATATTATTCACGGGTGGAAATTTTTTCGACGTCACAGTTCTCGAAAAGTGTATGAGAGAGAATATTGGTGATCTCACTTTTGAGGAAGCATACCTAAAAACAAAAAGAGTGCTCAACATTACAGTTGCCACTACCGGAAGAGGTGGAGTTCCAAACCTACTAAACTATTTGACTGCACCAAATGTAGTAAGTTGTAGACACTAGTCGAAAACCAATACTAAATTCTGCAGTTGATCTGGTCAGCTGCCGTTGCTTCCAATACACCACCTTCAAAGTCTTTATACAGCCGTCCACCAGTGCTCAGGTGTAAAGATACTTCTGGCGAAATTGTCCCCTGGTCTATAGCTGCTGATATCACTTTCAGACCACGGACGCATACTTCATATACTGAAAGAGAGTCTCCGCTTACTCGTGTCGCGGAGCTGTTCAACGTTAACCATTTTATCGTCAGCCAGGCTAGACCTCACGTAATTCCCTTTCTTCAAAGTGATATGCACGGGCCACCACCTCTAATACAGCGAGGGGGACGGACACCATTGATAAGCGGACTCCTTAGGCTTATCGGGATTGAGCTAGATCATCGTATTCATCAATTAGAAACGATGGGACTACTTCCGACGATAATTAGACGCTTCCTCATCACAGAACAGATACCAGGTACTCCTGTTACTCTGGTACCTGAGCTTTCCGCAAGTGATTTCTTTTGTTTTTTGAAGGAACCGACTCAAGCTAATCTCCGTTATTGGATACTCCGTGGAGAAAAGAGCGTTTGGCCGGCAATCGGGGCCCTAAAAGTTAGATGTGCAATTGAGATAGAACTTGACAGAGGATATCAGTTTACTAGGCGTCGAAAAGCTGTAAGGCTACGCCCAGATAGTAGTAGAGTAGACAAAGGGGAAGGAAGAGAGAGAGCCAGGGAACGTGTGCGTGCTGACAGCCTCAGTGGTAAATGGTAGCACCAACAGCGCTTTATTGTTACAACTTGGGACCCACAAATATGTGATAGCTGTTGAGATAAAATTGACAAAATTTTCGTGGTAAATCTGTAAATTTACAGCGGGGCTATCTGGATAATTTTCCATTTGGTGTTTAGGAATGACCAGGCGAAGTTCTCAAAAAACCTCAATACAATTGGCATGTACCGCATGTCAGGAAAGCTGCTTGCTATTCAGGTCATTTGCCAGAAGCAGTAATATTTCCACTCTTGTAGACTGGTTACCAAGTAACATTGGTCTTGTTTTATTGTCTCTGCGAATGGATTAAACCACTTGGTAATTCTCGCCTGACATGGTATTAGGTTTAGGAGTAAAATTGGGCTTCCCGCGACAGAATAAATGCACCCCTTCCCTAACACAGCACAGCCCTCGATATTTAGCGACGATAAATACCGTTTTAAATCTTTCCTATTCCTCATCATCTTCTTCATCATCATCATCCTCGATGACTTTTCGCTTCCTCCCTCTAGTAGCTGTATCATTTATCACTGGAGTTGCTGCTTCGTCATCATCAAGATCTGCTTCAGCGTCAGCATCAGTCTCGTCACTTTCTACCGTCGCCTTAGTATTCTTCTGTTTTTTGGTTGGAGGCCGTTCTCTCCTGTTGTCATCATCTGTGTCTAAATCGTCATCATCCTCAGCACTTTCTTCCATTTCTTCATCACTATCCGCAAGAAAGTCATCTTCTTTATCGTATTCATCCTGCTTACTTCTTCCAACACGGGGCTCATCATCCGATTCATAGCTAGATCGGTTTCGACGAGGTTTGGAGGCTTTGCGTTCCGTACCAGTTGATTTTCGTCCTGAACGGCCTTCGAGATCATCGATATGAAGGCCATTCCGAATCCCAATAGGCGCCTTGTGTAGGTTGTACTTTTCTGCGGCATTTTCACGACGCCTCTGAGCTTTCATGCGTTCTTTCTCAGCAATCTCGGCTTTTTTCTTTTGAAGTTCTGGGTCTTCAACATTAGTGATAAGTTCTGGTCCCCCTTTATCATCCCCCTTGGAGCCACCGCGAGTGGCAGCTGCAAGACTTTTCTGTAGCTTTTCGAGGGCATCGTCCTCTATTTCTTTATTCGGCCGTACAGTGTATTGATTGCTTGTGTGGCCGATCAGAAGGAGGAGTTGTGATGCGATTGAGGGCGTCGCTAAGTATGTGTGGGAATCCATAACCTCTTGATAAGGCTTGGAATCTGCGGGAGGGGCTAGAGTTTTTGTTTCCAGCTCATAGTGTTGATCGCCAATAGAAATTGTGGTACTACCATCATTCCATTTACATAGAATCGTATTGCTTTCTAACTCCCCAGTCTTAGAGTCTCTACGGTAACGTATGGTTGAAAGAGCGACACTGCTAGCTGAAAAATTGGCAGATTTGCTTTCAGAATGATGGTCGGAGATAGGAGGAATAAAATTGGTAGAATCATATGCATGAGGTTCTATACCTAGAAATTTTGGTAGGCGTAATGTGCTAAACTAAACACAATACTTTAGCACCCACTATACAAATGAAAGAATTTCATACCTCTCCATTTGTAGGTTTAGGGATTATATGTCTCCAAAGCGTTGCTTCAAGTATCTGTGCATCTCTTCCCGCATCGTAATCTAATTCCTCATTTCCATGAGGCTGAGCTCTATCATCTCGATCTTCATCATCTCCTGAATCTAATTCCTGATCACTGAGCTCCCGAGCCTTTTTAACTGGTGCTTCTTCATCTCCGAATAGATCATCTTCATTCAAAGCATTCGAGCTAACATCATCATCTGGTGACGAGGCCATGATTTTGAGGATGTAATATCGATGAGCAGGATAAAGTTATTATTTTTCAATGACCCAATTTTTTATACTTTTTTCTTATTAATTAATCGCTAGTTTGCGTTTTTCTGAAAATTCCACGCGCGTCTGTTCAAGATTGTTGCTTAGGCTGAACGTAGATTTACTTGTTTAACATAGAAATTGCTAGTGAAAAAAATAGCTAATGGCTCGGAAAGTACAAGGTCATTGTTTCGCTGGCAAGTTTCGTAATGTTTGCCGCGTAATTGATGATAGCGAATTCTGTCATTTTGTAAACAACCTCGCTGCCTTAATTGCTTCTTTGTTGGTGACTAAGTGAAGTAGCAAGGACGCTAACCACCGATAAACTTGCTACAATATCCTCCAACTACCCCAACTCCAAGCGCATATCTATTCTACGTACAGACTATCGAATCTATCAGCCAAAGCAGATCTCAATTTATATATGGGCTGGTCAAATTTCTGACGTTAAGAGCCCAAGTGCTTTATTTGTCAGGCCCATCATGTCTAACCTATTTTCGGGAATGTAAGTACAAGTCTTATCTTCAGCGATATAATTTTGACAGATTCTTTTCATGTATTCTTCACTCTTTTCCAAGTGGAAGAAACGTCCATAGAAGTTGTTGTACACCGAATAAGTTAAGTATATCAGTCAGGCTAGATTTTCTAAGGATATCACGTTGCCTGTAACCTATGTTTATGTCGGAAAGCGCCGACCTGAACTTTTTTCGTGCTTGAAACCTTTTACAAACTTCTAAGTGGAGTTATCAAAATATGTCCACCCGCATAACCTCTCCGAGATTTCACAGTTTGCTTTATCACACGTCGTAGCCTGCTTAAAGGAAGTACCTAACTTGTTCGGCGGCCAAAGGTTCAAAATTATATCTAATAGACTTTGTTCTTCTGGTACATATTTTTGCTATGGGGTTTATTAATTACTATTATTCGAAAACAATGCACTTACAATTATCCCTTTTTAAGTAGCGGACGCTTTCGTGGTACGGGCAAAGGTGCAGGTGCGAAAAGTCCCGGTCTACCACCATCTGCATCATCATCTTCTACCGGAAATGTAGCGAATGGATCTTCAGGTGGAATGGCTCCAAGGGTACCTCCGCTTCCTAATTCGCCATCACTCACTCAGACGTTCTCTATGGAAAATTCCGAGTCCAGCCCAGCAAGAAGCGATGTTCTTAGCCATTATAACCTACCTCGTCCCAAGCCACTTTGGATAAATGACTCGTACGCCAAGCATATTGTGAAGGGGAACTTCATGACACTATCAGCTCGACCCAAGACCGTTGAACAAGGAGAATGGATTGCGCATCAAGGTACGCATAGAACACCAACAGATTTACATATCTGGTAATGACCCAAAAGTTGTTGAACATTACAGGATTTTGTGGAACTTTGTTCGTGTGGTTCATGATAGGGATGAAGACGGGACTTCAATTTGTAACCTTTCAACCTGTCCACGAATGTCAGCTGGCGCGTATGGTACCAGAACTTATATTCTCTTTTTACTTCTAACGGCCTTTAGTAACTATTCGTTTACATGGTTAAATCCTCGCAAAGAACCAGTCGAGGTACCCGCCCACGAGTATATTTCATTGATGCAACGATGGATTAGTAGTAAACTTGATAATCCTGCTATATTCCCTACAGATCCGACTGGTGTTTCCTCAGCACCAATTCATACAATCTCAGATCATTCCTTATCAAATTATGGATCTAATAGCCCTAATACAAATGGGCCCAATATTGCTGGTCAAAACATTACGTCACATCTAAGCTCACCACATTCTCAGTACGGTAATAAAAATGATTGGATAGGAAGAAGTAGTGGCTTCCCCATGGAATTCGTCGATGTTTGTCAAACAATATTTCGTCAAATGTTTCGAGTATATGCCCATCTCTACTGGGCCCACTTTACTGACCCGTTCTACCATCTAAACCTTGAAAAATCTATGAATAGCTGTTTCAGTCATTTTATACTTACTGCTACTGAAATTGAGATGTTAAAGCCACACGAACTGGAGCCTATGCAGCCCTTAATTGACCTATGGGCAGCTAACGGGACATTCCCAAAGGAATCAAAAGCCTACGCAGGCGCAAATATCAGAGCTGGTGAAAAGTTGATAAGCCTTTCAGGTATAAACTGAAGATGATACGGGTTTTGGGTCAAAGTAATCGTCCAGATGTTGAAATTCATCATCTTGCAGTGTCAGATTATCATAAACTCGATCTACTATCCAGTCATTGGAAACTTGATTTAGCAGTTCTATTTTCTAGAAGCAGATAATGGTATTTTCCAGAGGTAAAGTGCGCGAAAGAAGCTGTCCATATAGCGCCGGAAGATAAACCGCGTAAATACGGTTTTAGTTGAAAATATATCTCGGAATTTCAAATTGCATGTGATAAGTACAATGTATCCAAATGATTTTAGACTCATGGGAATATTGACGAAAAAAAAAAAAAGTAATTGATTTATGATACTAGCACTATTTCCAACCCCAAGTAATAGTTTAATCACATACTAAAGTTGAATGGTGTGAACCCCACTTCCTAACTGTAGATTGAATTTGACATTGAGTCGGGCTTTCAAAAGCGATCAATGTATCTTAGTCTCCAACGACATTGGGACACGAAATCCGCCATAGTAAGCAGAAGTCCAGAATCAGGCCAAAAAGTTCTCCAGCTTCAATTATGGAGATCAGAGAACGTACGGAAAATTTTAGAGAAAGTGAGGTGCATTATTTGCTCGCGGGATTCTACAGTCTGGAGCACGTGCAGATGTTGACTTGTCAATATTTGTGTCTTTTTCATGACTTATTATAAAAAGAGTTTTAATTCATTTTGTATTCAGCTGTTTGGCTGTGACAATTCTCACTCTCTGAGTTTAAGTCGCCGACAGAAGTGCTGAGACCAATCCAAGACTACCTGTTTGATTCAAAGATGATTTATAAATTAATGGTCACACACTCTAATAAGGATCTTTCGTCGCCTTCACTTTTCAGGGCTACAATAGAAATCTTTACTATTTTCTATCACTTATAAGCGCTAGAGATAACGTGAAAGCCATACTATGCATTTTGTTAGATTTTGGAATAATTATTTTTTATTTATAATATTTAACGTCGTGCCCGCGCACAGCACGTGAGCTCCTTACGTACCGGTTAACCCAGTCTAAATTAAACTACCCGACGTCGTATCGCTCACTTTCGAGATTGTGAGAGTGCGTTTATTGTAATACTTGAGTCTATGACTATCTAGAACATTGGACTCCTCTCTGACCTAGGCCACACCTTGTACAGTGCTCCTATCCTCTTTTATTACTTGAAAGATCATTGATATATTCCCCCTGATGAATAGCCATTCAGCTCAGTGTTTACCCGTGGAATTCGGCCACCTTTTCCACCGAACCTTTCTTCCCAAAAAAAAAAGGTAGCAATGGAAACTGCGTGCGCGGGAAAAAGTCTCAAAAACCCTGCAGCCCCAGCCAGTCAGGCTAGGCCTAGATACCGGAACCATATGAGGTGCGCATATTCATCTCTATCTCCCTTCTTTGTAACATTCGAGGCCGACTTGATCCTATCCACCACCTCCGCATCGGGTGCTGGGTACGCTCCGGATACTCAGCGGATGGCTTTTCTCCCATGATCAAGAGAGGGTGATGAGAAGGGCTCCAACCCTACCATCTGATCTGATCGTGGTCAGCTTCATGATAATGGTGATAGGGGAATGTGTTGAGAGATGAAGACGATAGAGACCGCGGAAGCGATTGGGAATCTTCGTCGAAGTGAGGACTTTTTTACTCAATCTCGGCTCTGCAGACTCTACAGTGAGAGCTGGAGGTTCGTAGGGGACACCACTGACAGGTGTTGAGAATAGTCCGCCGCTCACTTTCGATACCTTGCTACCAAATGGACAGTGAGAGAATGTATCCACTTTTCCGAACCAGGTGTAGTCAGAGTGCGATGGTGTCCAGGTCATGTCGGCATATCTGGCCATTAAAACGCTGACGCACTTGCTGAACAGGCATGCGCAGCCCCTATGGCCCCCCCTATGCCACCTATCTCCCGCGCAAACAGAGACACTATCTCACGACACAGAGCCTCCACAGCCCTTTACTAGTCCCAGAATTCTCCCTAACGATATCAACAGCTGGTGATTAATGCCAATATTGGGAGCTCCCCGAACTCAAGAACCTCAATCGCTACGCTCTTAGTCGCCTTCTTGCAGCTCGCTCAGGTCACGGGGACTTTACTGACTATCACCGTCGCTTTCACCACTCGGACGCTCTTCTGATCTGCGCTTGCGGGCTAGAAAAGTTTCCCGAGGACTTCTTCTTTTTTCGACTCAATCGGAGTCGGTCCCGCCTTTGCAGCGGAAATAAACAGCCAACGACGGGAATTCGCTGGACTCTAGGCTCTCCCGAAGGAGCCATAGCTTTTAGTAAATGGCTTCATGAAATATGCTTTTTTGAAGCATGCAATAACAAGACTAACTAGTACTCCAAGTTATAAACACTTGGCCTATATTTGCTAGAGCTCAGATTAAAAGACTTCTAGTCTAGGTGATGGAAAACTTTCCTCTTCATATATATAACTTTCTTCTCTACTGTATTAGAATACAAAAGTCTCAGCTGGAGAGTACCTTTGAATTCTTGCGATAGTTCGGGGTGCATGGCAGGTAGGCCTTGGCCCATTTATAACATTTGGGGCTTATTTAAAAGTATCAGCACGTCGGGTAGTTTATATAGACTGAGCTGGCCAACACGAGACCTTATGGTTGTTTTGTTTTGTTTATTTTGTCCTAAGCTAAAGCTATGTTTTCCACATTGGGTCAAGGATAGGCGGAGCCGGCAGGGTTTCCTGTAATCTTTCCTACAGCCTAACTCGTTCCAACCTCGTGAATCGCTACCAAAAGTGCAGCTGATTAAACAGAAACGAAAAATCAAGAAAATCAAAACAACTCCGAATACCAGAAGATTCCTCCATATTGGACCCAGTCCATGTGCTCCTCACAGATTCCCTCGTCCGTCAAACCTTCCAAATGACAAATTTACTCCTTCTATGCTGAGAGCGAAAGATGAGTTATCAGGCACCTTTGATCCAGCCGGTATCCTGCTAATTGTTAGTGGATGCCCCAGAAGGGGACATCGTCGAGGTTGCTGTTATTGAAAGGCTATGCTGAGCTGGAATGACGTACCGTTAGGATGAAGGTATGGAAGGAGGTAGCTATGGCTTTAAGAGAAGTAAAGTTCGTGAGTTATACTCTTAGGACTTGGATCAATGGACGAACTTGAGGATATTCCCTGGTATTGTTTCTATTGAGGGCATTCATCTCTTCTTCAATTGCTTCCCCCCACAATTCATGTTCGTCCGAATTCATTGCCTGTTGAAACGTCGATGGTTCTAATTTAACCGCGTTAGCTTGATATCTTTGATCGCTTGACACCATTCCTGGACCAGGGTTAGTTTGTCGTTTTTCTCGTGTAATTCTCCTAGGAAGTTGATCATGGGAACTATCTTGCTCAAAGGGTTGCGTAGCTTCCAGATTAATTGGAGGTAGAGGAGGCAATCCTTGGAGAATAAAGTTTTCATGAGGCTTTTTAGGAGCACCAGGTGAAATACGACTACTATCTTGTAGTGATGGTGTAACGGGTGAAATTTTTCGAGACATTTGAGGTGTTTCAATAAAAGTTCCAGGCAATTGTGATGATACAGGTGATATTGGACGAGTATGGATTGCATTGGAGGTAGGCAGAGTATTTTGATCTGCTGATGAAGAGTTTGGATGCGTTGCGTTTTCGGGGAGGGATGATAAGACGTCGATAGTTTCTTCCCCTGACTTCGGAGGTGGGAAAAGGACTTGTCGAGTTACTTGGACTATATTTTTCCTTGGCATATATATGCGGAATATTTTGGATGATCCGGTGTAGCCTACGAATATACCTTTAATCGCTCTTGGTTGTAGTTTGGACCCGTTAGGTCTGGTCTCGCTTGGGATATGAACGTAGACCTCTAAACCGAAGGCGTGAAGGTGTGATACCATGGGTGAGGGTACTCCGTCTAGAAGTTCGATCGGAGACTGGTATTCGTTCGTCCGATGAGGAGTTCTGTTGTATAGGTAGACGGAGGTGGCAATAGATTCTGCCCAGAGATGTTTTGGAAAGTCAAGAAGCAGAGTTCGAGCTTTGGTAACGATCGTTCGATTGAATCTTTCGGCAACACCATTTGATTCGTGTTCGTATGGTGGCGAAGTTTCATGATTGATACCATTTTCAGCAAGAAATTGTTTAGTTCGGCCATCAATGTATTCTCCTCCATTATCTGAAAAAAATATCTTGATGGTTTTCTCGTACTGGTTTTTAATCAACATTACATAATCGCGAATGGCTTGATATGTGTCGCTTTTATTCTGAAGGAAGTAAATCCAGGCATATCGAGAGAATTCGTCAATAAATGTGATGTAATATAGTTTTCCGCCCAGTGATTTGACAGAGAACTTTCCAGAGAGATCCGAATGAACGACTTTAAACGGTTGTTGAGCTCGCTTTTGTCTTGAGTTTTCTGAATGGTGAGTAGATTTGGAGAGAATGCATGATGGGCAGTGGAATCCTTCAGGTTTATTTGGAATTAAGTCAGGATACTTCTTCTTCAAATTCAACATGGCATTTTGACCAGGATGGCCAAAGCATTTATGGGCTTCCATATAAGAGGCAAAAGAAGATTTATATTTTTGTTCTTGAATTACAAATTGTTTTGAAGAATCAAAAGCCGCAAATATCCATTCTTTCCCATCTTTAATCACCTGTCGTCGACCATTTTGCGATATGATCATATTTCCCTCCATTTCCAATTTACTTTCAGAAATTAAGTTACCACCTTTGAGATCAGGGACGTACAAAACATTGTGAATAGTTGCCGAAATATTTCTGCCGGTACTTGTTTGCAAGTTTAAGTGTAAAGTTCCTGACCCCTTGGCGGGAACCTCCATGCCATTTGCGAGAGTGACTAAGCCTTTATGAGGAACTATAGAGGCGAGTAGTTCTTCTCGAGATGTCATGTGAGCAGAGCATCCTGAGTCAAGAATCCAATGTAGAGGTGAGAAGGATGTTGAAGCAATGAAGGCCTTATCTTTTTCGATGTCGCTGTAA